AAACCTAACGAACCGGTGTACGGTGGTCAGAGTCAACTTCGAGTCATCATTGAGGAAACGCCTACAGCTGTCAGTTCCACCTGAGTAGCTTTTAGTGCTGTGCTTGTGCTAACTTGATAGCCACTCTCAACTTGTTAAAAGACATTTCACTGAGTAGGAACCAATCCCCACTTCAGGAAGAGCAGATTGCTAATCAATTGGTTCATACTCGAAAGGACCCAAAACAAGCAAAATCAAACGCCCAACTGCAAAGTGCCAACGTTCCCGACATTCAGCTGCAAGAGACAGAAGCTCAAGCAAAATTATAAACAAAAATGTCCTGGCCTCTGCCATTATGTAAGAAGGCTGGATTTGGAAGATGGATGCTGTGAGTTTAAACACACACACACACACTGCTCCCTTCAGAACCCTCAAGATGTGGATTTCTAGTGGTGAGGTTCTGAGGACTCACAGGGGCTTTTCTCAGCCTTTCTCCTTGACCACCTTGGGGAAACTCCTTCCTCTTCCACCTGGACATGCAGTTCTGACCCTCCTTGCAGGTACTGCAGCAGCGCACCTAGTACTTCACCCCGCTGCTTTTCTTGCTTTTTTTTTTTTTTTTAAATAATTATTTACTTAATTTTTAATTTATCATTATTATTTTGTATTAATTTGCTACAGGGCACATCATTCACCAGAGAGAGGAAAAATAAGAAAGCAAGCCAGTAGGTCCAGAACTGAAACCATGGTTGGCCGTGTGGGAGTCCAGTGTCTTAACCACCATGCCACCTGTCCCCCCACGTTTTCTCTTTACTTTTCTGTTTTCATCTTGGTCCTTTACAGGAAACTCACTCCTTTTAAATTAGTAACCTTGTTCCAATCCATCATTTTTATTTATTTATTTATTTTTAGAGATTTTTGTAATAGGGTGTGTGTGCTTGACAGAGAGAGGCGAAAAATGCCCCCCGGGGGGATAGCCATGCCACAATCCCTTCTCTTCCTTCTCCTTCTGGGATCTTGGGCATACACACACATGTGCCCAGCACCAGTTTGAAGCCACTGGGTCTGGGACTTGAACTGCGATCAGTCATGTGGAATTCCAGCAACATAACCACTACGCCATCTGCTGGTCCCCCAATCCACCTTTTTGACAGATAGTCTTTGGAAAAATATTGTTCAGTAATCTCTTTCTCCTAAAAGGGGGAAATGGGAGTCATTTTAAAATTTGATAAGCCAGATCAGACTGAACCAATTCCAGAGTTCTCTGATTCTCCTAACTCTCTCATTTGCTGTCATTCTCTTTTCAGGTAATAAAGAAAAACTAGCTCACTCCCTTTCCTTAGGTAGAATACCTATTTGTTTACTAACAAACTCATCAAGAAATATAATCCATAATGTTCTCCCTACTGAGATTTGATTAACTTGTACAAAGATCTGCCCAGGATTAACCAATACATGTTAAACACAGATAAGTCTACTGGGCATTAAATTCATTACTGGATAATATACGACACAAAATCTCATTATTTCATGTACTAGTTCTTATAATAACCAGCACTACCAATTAAAAACAAAACAAAATCTGGGACCAGCAGTTGGCATAATGGCTATGTCACTGGACTCCCATGTAGTCGACCACAATTCAAGTCCCGGACCTGGTGGCTTAAACTCAGACTGGGCAAGTGTGCGTGCGTGACCGAGATCCCGAGAGGAGAATGGAGGAGAAGGGATTGTGGCTTGGCCATCCCCCCTGGGCGGTGATTTCTCGCTTTCTGTCTCTATCTTTCTGGAGAGCACACGTACCCTATGACAAAAACCTCTCAAAACAAAACAAAACCAAATCTAAGAGCCGTGGGTAGAGAGTTAAGACTTTGTTTAATATTGTTATATCTTTCCATACCGTGTTGACCTCAGTCCAACTGGCAGCGAGGTCTTCACTGTTACTGATTTATGCAGTGCATTCTTTAGTATCCTGGTTGACCAAGCCAGGGAATACTTTTTGCCTTCTCTTGGAAAAAGCAACCATATTGCCTGGACAAGAGTGACCCAAGACTTCACTGAAAGCCCTTCTAACTTTTTCATAAATCGTAAGGATTGACGGCTGTGGTTTGGCTATGTCTAAATATAGTGGCCACCAAAAATCCCTGTTCTGAAATCTGGTGGGCCATCATAATGGTATTAAGAGGGTAAAGATTTGATCTGATTATGGTGTTGAAAGATGGGGCCTTTGGGAAGTGGTTGGCATCAGGATGGGGGACTCGTTTAGAATCTCATGGGCTTGTAAGGACATGCAGGCATGAACACACACCTCACCGTTTGACATACGGCCTCCACCATGTTATCCACCAGCTAGAAGACCTTCAAGAGATGTGGCACCTGCAACTTGGACCTCCGAACCATGAATTAAATGAACTTCGAATCTTAAAAATCACCGGGAACCAGCAGTTAGTGTAATGGCTATGTCGCTGGACTCCCACATAGTCGACCGCGGTTCACGTCCTGGACCCGGTGGCTTAAAACTCACGCCGGGCGTGTGTGCGTGCGTGCCCAAGATCCCGAGAGGAGAATGGAGGAGAAGGGACTGCGGCATGACCATCCCCCCTGGGGGGTGATTTCTCGCTTTCTGTCTCTATGTCTCTGTCTGTCTGTCTGGCGAGCGCACGTGCCCTATAGTGAAAACCTCTCCAAAAAAAAAAAAAAAAAAATCACCCAGTTTCTGGGGGTCAGCAGGTGGCATGGGGATTAAGGCAATTGTATCCTATGTGGCCGACTCCATACCAGACACATATGCATGTATGCCCAAAATCCCAAGAAGAGAATGGAGGAGAAGGGATCGCTGTGTGGCCATCCTCCTGGGGGAGGGCGGGGGAGTGATTTCTCATTTTCTCTTTCTATCTCTCTCTCTCTTTGTCTCTGGTGAGCATACGGCCCCTATAGCAAAACAAAACAAACAAGCAAAAAACCACTTAATTTTAGGTAATCAGCTATTAAGCAACACAACCTACTAAAACAAAAGTTAGTACTGGAAGAATGAGGTGCTGTTAATAACAAATACCTGAAAATGTGGACGTGGCTTTTGAACTCAGTAATGGACAGAGGTTGGAAGAATTTTTTTTTCTTTTTTTTTGGACAGGCTTTTGTTATAGGGCGCGTGCACTCGCCAGACAGAGAGAGACAGAGAAACAGAAAGCGAGAAATCACCCCCCAGGGGGGATGGCCACGCCTCCATTCTCCTCTCAGGATCTTGGACACGCCCACACATGCGCCTGGCTGCGTGAGTTTAAGCCACCAGGTCCAGGACTCAAACCGTGGTCTACTATGTGGGAGTGCAGCGACATAGCCATTACGCTAACTGCTGGTCCCCCTCGGTTGGAAGAATTTGAATGAGGAAGTTAAAAAGGGGGAGGAGGTAGCTAGAATGTAATAAGGGGAATTCTGGTGGGAGTTAGAAGATAAAAAGACTAAGGAAACTTTGGAACTTCTTACAGATTAGTTAAATGGTTGCAACAGGGCTAATAAAAGGCACCCAGGTAAGGGCTTAGATGAATACGAGGAAAACATAATTGCAAAACTTTGTCTGCATTGGGTTCATGCCCTAAAGCTTTTGGGAAGGTGAACTTGAGTGCCGACCTGGGGTGTTTAGCAGGAGAAAGTTCTAAACAACAAAGTGTTCAGGCTGCTCCCTGGTGATTTTCATTCTTTTTTTTTTTTGCTATAGGGCGTGTGCCCTAGCCAGACAGACAGAGCGCCAGAGAGACAGAAAGCAAGAAACCACAC